GAAATCTAGTCGAAATGATTGGCGAATCAATTCGCCCGTTGGCGATTGCAGCTGGACGCCGATTCCGGATCCTTTCATCGAAGATGATCCATCGACGTGTAGTATCCAAATGCCTGTTTGCGAGACAAGATCCTGCTCGAGTTCTGGGGGAAGCTCGATGATAAAATCGGCTAGAACTTGCGATTTTTCGGCCGGCTTGCCTTGGTACGTGACGTCGTGTTCGCTGAGTTCGATTGCCCATTTCGACAATCGACCCGACTGGTTGGTGTTCTGCATGATTGTGCGCAACGGTTGATTGGTCAAAATGACAATCGAATGAGATTGGAAGTAGGGCCTGAGCTTTCGTGCCGAAGTGATGACCGCCAGGGCCATTTTTTCGAGGGTTGAATATCGCGTCTCGGCGTCGGTCATCCGCTTGCTTGTATAAAAGATTGGGCGCTGTTCACCGCGATCTTCCTTGACGAGGACACTGCTGACGGCGATCGTGGAGACTGCGATGTAAAGGTAAAGTGTATCTCCTTTTTCAGGTTTAGCCAATACAAGCAGTGTGGTGAGGTAATGTTTCAGTTGGTTGAACGCCTCTTCACACTTCTCGTCCCAAACAAACTTCTTATTGTCGCGCAACAAGTTGTAGAAAGGGAGGCACTTGTCGGTCGACCGCGAGATAAATCGGTTAAGCGCTGCCACTCGTCTCGTTAGCCTTTGCACTTCTCGACTGTTTTTGGGGCTCGGCAGATCCAGGATTGCGGAGATTTGCTTCGGATTTGCCTCGATCCCCCTTTGTGTCACGATGTAACCGAGAAATTCACCAGACGTGACTCCGAACGTGCACTTGGCTGGATTGAGCTTCATGCCGTATTCGTTCAGCGTTCGAAAGCAGTCAATCAAGTGACTTAGGTGGTCGGTCGCCCGGCGGGATTTTACCATGATGTCATCAATGTACACTTCCATTGTATCTCCCAATCGGTCGGCAAACATTCTGTTGACCAGACGCTGATAGGTTGCGCCAGCGTTCTTGAGTCCGAAAGGCATGACTTTGTAGCAATATGTTCCTACGTCCGTGATAAATGCAGTTTTCTCCCGATCATGAGGATGCATCATGATTTGGCTGTATCCCGAAAAGGCATCCATAAACGACAACAACTCATTTCCGGCCGTTGATTCGACTAGACGATCGATATGCGGGAGGGGGAAGCTATCCTTCGGACATGCTTTGTTTAAATCGGTAAAATCAACGCATACGCGCCATTTCCCGTTCTTCTTCTTTACCACGACGGGGTTTGCTAACCACTCGGGGTACTTTACTTCTTCGATCGACCCTGCGCTGAGTAATCGGTCGACCTCTTCGTTCACTGCTTTTGAACGCTCGGGTCCCAACTTTCTTCTTTTCTGTCGAACTGGTTTAATTGTTGGGTCGACGTTCAGCTCGTGAGTCGTAATGGAAGGGCTTATCCCTTTCATATCGGCTGTTGTCCAAGCGAGTTGATGCATTTTCCTTCAAGAAAGAAATGATCATTTCTTTCGTATCGGTCGGCAGTTGAGCGCCTATTCGGACGATTTTACTTGGGTCGTCTCCATCAATGGGTACCTCCAGGATCTCCTCTTTGGAGCTTGAATTGGTCTAGTGATGGCATTCACGTGGCAGGGCGATCGGCGGAGCTTTATTTCCGCGACGAGGAGGTCGCGGGCGGCTGCCTGATCTCCACGCAGAGTGATTATTCGACCGTCCGTACGGGGGAACTTGATGCATTGGTGATAAGTTGACGGAATTGCCTTCATCGAGTGGATCCACGGTGTTCCGAGAATCGCGTTTTATGGAGTTTTTACGTCGATTATCGAGAACTTGACGCTCTTGTTTACGCCATGAGCGTGGACTCGCAGTCGTATGGTGCCGAGCATCGTTTCTGAGGATCCATTGAATCCTGTCAAGGATCGCGCGGAAGGTTTGATTTTGCGGAGGTCGATTCCCATCTTCTCAAGAGTTTCTTTGAAGATGAGGTCAACCGAACTCCCGGTATCGATGAGGACTTTCGTTACCTCGCAATCACCAATCCCGAGCTCGATGAGAAGGGAATCGTTATGGGGCATGTGAACCCCTTTAGCGTCTTCAGCGGAGAAGGTAATCTGGGGGACGTTCTCCCATACGGTGCACCGGTTCTGTGCAGTGACTGCTCTCCGGCGGAAGTCCTTAACTGAACGGACCGAGTCAATATGGGGAGGTGATCCTCCCAAGATCACGTTTAACCGCTTGGGCGCGTTTGAGCGCTTCAACCGGGCATCGTTCAATTGTGCACGCAGATCCTCCGTTGTTTCGTCACTCTTGGCGCCGGCCGATCGATTGAGCTTGTTGCTCAAGTCGCCGACACGCGAGTTGATTATTGATCGAAGGTCGTGCTTCTTAGCGTCCAGGCGATGGCGAGCGTCCAGCGTATTCAGTTTCCTGATTTTCGAAGTTGCGATCGTCCGCTGCGGGATTTCAGGAGAAGGTTCAATGTTCAGCTTTGCGTTCTTCCGTTTGAGAGAGTCACGCAGATCGTGTTGTAACCCGAAGTCGTCTTCCTGCGTGTTCTCGGAGGTGGATGAGTCAGATTGTCCTTCCTTCGCCAATATATCGTCCGTCAGGGAGAGCGCAGGAGTCGTCCTGATTGTAAAGATCTTCCGGCGGGATGTGGGTTTCTCTTCGTCAGATCCAGACTCATCTTCGTTTGAAGGGGTGATATCTTTCTTCGGGGGAGATCGATCGGCCGAATTGCTGCGGTCGTTACCCTTCCTGTCTTTGCTCTTTCCCGTGCCTTTTGCATTCGCGTCGGGCTGTTGCTTCGGAGGTTCGGGATGAGCGTGCTTCTCGACGAAACTCGTCATGAGGAAGTTTTTGAGATTATTGCATTCCTTAGTCTCATGTCCGTACGCTTTGTGGTATCCGCACCACTTGGTTGCGTCGTACGTACTGTTGGCTGGATTCGTTCGGGCGGCCTGCTTTTTTCCGTCGACTTCCAATGTCCATTTGTTGCTCCGCTGTCCGCGAACGGCCAATGCCGGGTCCGGCTGTTTTTCGTCTGGGATGGCGTTGACGAGACTTTTCTTTTTATCCGGTTTGCTGTAGGATGCGTGCTGCCTAGGTTCAGGGTGACCTTCGGCTGCCTTCAAGGCCGTTTGTTTTAGCTCGTTTTGCTTTTTGATGAACGATCGCTTGTCCTCTTCCAACCGGATTAACGCATTTCGTAGAGCTTCGACGGCAGTTTGGTCGGGGATCTCGATCTGTGTCACCACCTTCTTGAACTTTTCCATGAAATCCTTGAGGCTTTCGGAGGCCGATTGCGACATCTTCCACAAGTCTGCCAAGGTCGTCTCTTGGTGAGTGAACATAATGTAGTGTTTCAAAAACTGCGCCGAGAGGTCGTGGAAGTTGTCAATCGACCCTTCGGTCAGTCGCGAGAACCAGGTTAACGCCGGTCCGGAGAGGCTTTCGATGAAAAGTTGGCAGAAGCCCGCATCTTTCTCCTCGTCGGAGAAGTTCGTCCTCCCCATCGCTATGTTGAACTCTGTCACATGGTCCGTCGGATCTGTTTCGCCGGCGTATGTCGGGAGACGGAGCTTGTTAATTTTCTTGATTTTGGTATCCGTAATCCGCTTCGTGAATGGGTTCTTTAGTGTGGTAACGAGGACGCGTTCGATCTCTGGGGCGGACGTTGTGACATGGTGTATCTTAGAGTGAATATCTTTCATCGATTTTCTCAACTCGTCGATCTGGGACTTGGTGGCTGCGTCCAGTCCGTCGGTCGTTTGACCGGCAAGGTCGGTTTCGTTAGCCGCGCCACCGACTGCAGGACCGGCTCCGGCGGGCGTCGGATTCGTCGAAGTGAAAAGTAGTCGACGTCTCGCCGTTTCCGTGTCTCCGGTGTCACCGACCGTCGCGGCGAGAGCAGCAGCGAGTGCGATCAATCGCTCGTTCATGACTCTGTTGGTTTCCTCTTGCCGTTGGAGGTGGTTCATGATGCGCTGCATCATATCATGGGCCGCCGGAGTCGCAGCGACTGGTCCTTGCGCCGGCGCGTCGTCGCTTTGAGAGTCGTCAGGAGGCATACTGATTTCGTTAACGCTACTTCGTAAGGCCCCACGGTGGGCGCCAAATGTTGAATCTGAGTTTTGTACGGTCGATTGACTAGAAAACTAAACTCGATTTGTGGGTTCTTCGAAGGCGTTTTATTAATCAGAGTTGATAACAAGAGGAGATTACATAAAGATTCAAGGAAAGAACAAAGGTCGGAGCTTTATGAAAGTCCGGCCGGATTACAAGGAGGTTCGATCGATCGTAAAACCCTAAACCTTGCCGTCAGTGTTCTTGTAGTAATTTGTGGATCCCCTTTTCTTTCTCTCCCCTCGTCCTTTTATACTCCGAGTCCTTTTTTTTGGCTTCGTTCGCCCTAAAGCTCGTCTTAAAGGCCCAAGATCGAGCTCGCGTTTAATGGGCTTTCAAGCTAGAAATCATTCGTGGAACCCGGTTTAAATCGACCTAATCAACCGGTTACCCAAGTAGACCGGCTCGTTGAGCTTTTGGACGAACGAGCTGGTCGCTCGATTTTTTTCGGTTTGATCCTCTATTTCGGTCGAACTTCAATCAAACCGATCATAAACGGGTTGAAGCCTGTTATTCGATGGGCCTTGTGGAGGGATGTTCAATCCCTCTCCAACAGTAATCACGAACATAAACTGATGATTCCTTCGGCGGAAGAGGTCAGAGTCATCACTACTCCTACCATAAAACAAGATCCGTCTGAAAAAGCCAAGAAAGGGTTGATTCTTGAAGATCATGTCAAGGATTGGGTCAAGAGAAGAGATGAAATGTCTCCTCCCTTTTCTCACATAAGATGCTTAATAGTTAGTTCTGTTTGTAAAGAAATAGTGAATAGGTAGGAGGATGAACTGGATTAGTTTGATTTTGCAGTCATCTAATACAATTGCAATGTGCAGGAGTGCTTTGTCTGCCAACAGAGAACTCAATGGCGGTGTGTAAAGTGCCCAATGGCGGCTCACGGCAAGCATGCTCCATGGCCAAAAGAGATCACTTGAAAGACCAACTAGGAAGAGCAGTCTGTTGGAGGCATTCAACTGATTGGCGCCTAGACACAAAGGTCTATTCTCCAGTTTTCTTGCTTTAATTTTGATATCATCTGTAATTTATTACAAGCTCTATTCTCATACATACTCACTTACAGAACTGATAAAATATAATGTTCGTTGAGCAAAGTGGAGTTGCACAACGTGAGATAGAGGTCAGTGTTTCTTTGCTTCATGCTAGGTATCTCTCACATAGACATGTCCCTGGGAAGAACATAGAGGGAAGAGACTAGATAGCTGGATATTGTTTTTTTTTCTTATACAATTTCACGAACTAGGCAAGTAATTTTACTTTATTTTCAAATTCAGGAGGTCTTTTGTCAATTGCCTTTGCCATATGTAGAAGAGGAGTTCAAGATTGACTTGACATGGAAAGAGTCTGTGGCCAAAGATGATCTGCCTCCTTATGTACACATCAGGCGTAGTATCCTTCATAGTTTACATACACAAACTTTCGTACAATTCAACAACAGAGGCATTAAGTACATAGTTCTCTTTTTTCACTACTGACGTGTGTCTTTTCTTGACCAAAGTAAGATATTTATCTTGGGAAGAAGAAACGTGACAATGCTAATGATGGTGTTGGGTGCACTAACTGTGGCCCTACTTGCTGTAGAGGCTGTGTTTGCAGGTATTCTCACTGATTAACAACCTCTTTTCTGTAGAAAACATATGAAACTTTGCTTGAATGGTTTATGTTTTTGAAACAAATTTCTTTCAGGGTTCAATGTGTAAGTTGTTCAAAGCGATGTGGTTGCCCTGAAACTTGTGGAAACAGACCATTCCGCAAAGATAAGAAGATCAAAATTGTTAAGATAAAATTAGTTTTTTTGTTTCCCTGATTCCTGCATTATACAATCTTTTGTGTTGACTCTTGACATGTCATGTTGTTGTCTTACAAACCAAACTTTGTTGTTGGGGAGTAGAGGCAGCGGAATCCATTTACAAAGAGGACTTCATTGTTGAATATATCGGTGAAGGTAAAGCTAAGTTGATTGTGTGTGTGAGCCTCTTATGGTTATGGTGGGAGTGAGAGATAGTTGTTTTTAGTGATTATGTTGACTCTATGCACAGTGATTAGTGATGCTCAGTGTGAGCAAAGGCTTTGGGATATGAAGCATAAAAGAATGAAAGACTTCTACATGTGTGAGATTCAAAAGACCTCACAATTGATGCTACCTTCAAAGGAAACGCTTCTCACTTTCTACATCACAGCTGCAACCCAAATTTTGTTTTGGGGAAGTGGTAAAGCATAGATGATTACATCATATAAATATAGAAACTGAGTCAGTCTTTCATTTAAATATTTTTAAATATGAAATATATAAGGAAATTAAATTAAACTGAACTTACATGATAGATAATATTTTTTAAGGATATTGTTAAAATATCAAAATTCAGTTCTTGGGATACTCTTTTTGAATAGTTTTAAAAACTAATATTTCTTACTAACAAAATCTTCTCAAATCGTTATAAAATTTATTTTTGAAAATTAGTCAATGTAATACTTAATATCATCAAAATATAATTAAAATTGTTTCTATTAATTTTAATTTGTAGAAAATGCCTTCTCCATTGATGTAGCGTACATCGTCATCCTTAGAAGCTTTGGTTTTCTTGTTTCCTTTTCTTAATTAGCTTTGCTTTCCTTTTTCTATTTAAGTTAGATTTCCTTTTCTATGTTGGCTTTAGGATTTGACATCCCTATATAATGTGATCTCTTGGTTTGTGAGAGACACAACTTTGATATTGATTTATAAAATACTTAGAGCTTTGGTTTTACACAAACTCTTNCCTTTTTCTATTTAAGTTAGATTTCCTTTTCTATGTTGGCTTTAGGATTTGACATCCCTATATAATGTGATCTCTTGGTTTGTGAGAGACACAACTTTGATATTGATTTATAAAATACTTAGAGCTTTGGTTTTACACAAACTCTTGAATCCTTACTTCTGGGCATTCTTTGAGAATTCAACAGACTTAAGAAGGCTTAGATAACGGGTATTCTCAGAATTCAACGTTACCTTTGCGTTATCGGTTACTAAACGGTACTTCCGCTCCGTCAGTTGGTATCAGAGACATAGAACTTCGATTCCTATCGTTGTTTCGATCTTGCGATGGCTCCTCGACCAGGGAAAGAACCAGCCAACGATTGGACTCACTTTCAACAATTCTTGGAAGACTTCCAAGAACACTTTCATGATGAAATGCGACGAACCTTGGCTGAATCTATTCAGACCGGAGTTCAGGCCGGAGTTCAAGCCGCTCTTCAAGCAAACGCAGTTAATGCACCATGCGCACCACCACCCCACCGTCAACACCACAACATCAACCCTATCTTCGAAGATCCTGATGACGACGACGACCAAGCTAATCCATTCGGAGAAGACAATCAACAGCGGCGTCCACAGTATCATCACCATCAACTTCACAGGCATCACGACGATACACGATGGCTCTCAGGAATTAAACTTGAAATTCCCGAGTTTCATGGCAAATCACAACCGGAAGAACTGCTTGACTGGTTTGTGGCAGTCGATGAATTTTTGGAATTCAAAGATATACCAGCAACCAAACAAGTTTCCTACGCAGCTACTCGATTTCGTGGTCACGCCGCAGCGTGGTGGAATCAGCTAAAGATCTCGCGCACTAGCCGGGGAAAAGAGAAAATTGTGTCTTGGGATAAACTTAAGAAACATATGCGCAAAACGTTTATTCCTTATAACTTTGAGCGATTATTTTTTCAAAAGTTTCACAATATTCGTCAAGGTAACAGCTCCGTCGAGGATTATTCCAACGAGTTTTACCAGATGCTCTCTCGAGTAGACATCCACGACTCTGAAGATCAATTGGTAACACGGTTTATAGCTGGCCTTCGTCCTCAGCTCCAAATAATGCTACATCAGTTTGATCCTAGTTCAGTTGCAGAAGCGCGTCAGCGTGCCTTGTTAGTTGAACAGCAATCACGGTTTACTGCAAACACTTGGACAAGTAACACTCGTCAACGGTCCGCAACAGTTACCAGTGATATCAAGACCTCTACAGGAACTGACACAACAACCGGAAATAACCAAGCAGCCAAACCAGTGGCAGCGGCGGTTAACTCCCGACCATCTCGTACCAATGCTTTACGTTGTTTCTCTTGTGGAGAGAGAGGTCATCTGCAAACTGCGTGCCCTACTCATGGACGGCGTGGTTTACTTGCGAAGTACAAAGACCTCGTCGGTGAGCCAATATACGATACAGAAGATGGTCCACTTGATGATGTTGCAGAAGAACAAGTCTGCGGCGACACATGAACCCTCCTCATGCTACGCAGAAATTGTCTTGCTCCTAAGACGGACGAAGCATGGCAACGGACGGCTCTGTTTAGCTCAACCTGCACGGTTAAAGGAAAAGTATGTCGATTCGTTATCGATTTGAGATGGTCAGCTAATGTAGTCTCCGAGGAAGCTGTTCGTAAGTTAGCACTGAAACCAGAAGCACACCCACACCCGTACCGGCTTCTTTGGATGCAAACCGGAGCTGAAGTGTTTGTTTCCCAACGTGCCTTGCTTTCTCTCTCAATAGGGTCCTTCTACAAAGACGACCTTTATTGTGATATCGCCCGATGGATGTATCTCACATCATCGTAGGGCGACCATGGCAGTACGATCGCGAAGTCATCCATAATGGGAAGACAAACACTAATTCTTTTCTGTTTCAGGGTCGCAAAATCACTTTGTTTCCGTCACCTGACAAGGATCAAACCAGCATCAACAACACCTGAATGGAAAACAGCTTTCAAGACGCGTGAGGGTTTGTTTGAATGGTTAGTAATGCCGTTTGGTTTATCTAACGCTCCAAGCACGTTTATGAAAGTCATGAACCAAGCCCTTCGGCCGTTCATTGGTCGCTTTGTGGTTGCCTATTTCGACGATATTCTTGTGTTTAGTACATCGCTTAACGAGCATCTCAACCATCTTCGGGAAGTCTTGCTCGCTTTAAGACGGGAAAAGCTTTTTGTTGCAAAACAGAAGTGTGAGTTTGGGGTTTCCGAAGTTCTCTTCCTCGGATATGTTGTCTCAGCGGCAGGGTTACGTGTTGATTCTCTGAAAGTCGACGCCATATTATCGTGGCCCACACATACGACAATCTCGGAGATACGTAGTTTTCACGGCTTGGATTCATTCTATCGGAGGTTCGTGAGCAATTTTAGTGCCATCATGGCACCGATCACTGATTGCATGAAAGGTATATCGTTTACATGGACTGAAGACGCAGATCGAGCTGTTTCTATCATCAAAGAAAAATTGACGACAGCTCCTATTTTAGTCCTCCCCGACTTTGACTCCCCTTTTGAGTTACATTGCGATGCATCAAAGCTTGGCGTTGGAGCTGTCCTCAGTCAACATGGCCGACCCATCGCATACTATAGTGAGAAACTTGCAGGTGCAAGAAGTCGTTACAGCACCTATGATGTCGAGTTTTATGCTATTGTTCAAGCGATTAAGCGTTGGCGTCATTATCTTTCCCATAAGGAGTTCATCTTGTTTACCGATCATGTGGCGCTAAAGTATCTTGGAACGCAAGACAAGATTTCTGCGAGACATCCTTCATGGACCGCCTATTTGCAGCAATTTACCTTCGTCATCAAGCATCAATCCGGGAAGATGAACAAAGTAGCGGACGCATTGAGTAGGCGTCATGCCTTGGTCTCCACTTTGCATGTAACGGTGACGGGCTTCGAGTGTCTTGCAGAGTTATATCCTACTGATCCCTTATTTTCGACGATTTGGTTGGATCTCGCAAATGGTACGCGATCGGATTACTCACTCGTAGATGGCTTTGTGTTTAAAGACAATAGATTATGTGTTCATGCATGTAGTCTTCGTCTTCAAATCATCAAAGAGTTGCATGGTGAAGGGCATGTGGGACGGGATCGCACACTCAAACTTGTGTCCGAATCTTATTTCTGGCCGGCTCTACGCCGTGATGTCGAACGATTCGTAGCTCGTTGTGCATCGTGTCAAAAAGGCAAGGGTCATGCGTCTAACGCCGGTCTCTATTTTCCTTTACCAATTCCGACTCAACCATGGAGTGATATTAGTATGGATTTTGTGCTCGGTCTCCCATGGACTCAACGAGGGAATGATTCTATCTTTGTCGTGGTGGATCATTTTTCAAAAATGGCTCATTTTATCCCGTGCAAGAAGTCGACGGATGCTGTTCAGGTTGCTCTACTTTTCTTCCGCGAAGTATATCGCCTTCACGGGCTTCCTATGACCATCGTCTCAGATCGTGATTCAAGATTTATTAGTCACTTTTGGCGATCCCTTTGGAAGATGTTTAAAACAAGTTTAAACATGAGTTCTGCTAACCATCCTCAGACAGATGGCCAGACAGAAGTTACTAATCGCAGCTTGGGGAATATGTTACGTTGTTTGGTGGGTGATAACCTACGTTCTTGGGATTCTCTTTTGTGTCAAGCGGAGTTCGCGTACAATCATGCCAATAACAGAAGTCTGGGGTTTAGTCCTTTTAAAGTCGTTTATGGTGTCGTACCCCGAGGACCTTTGGCTTTGACTACACTTCCTCAACCAGGCGAGTTTCATGGTCGGGCAGTGGAGCTTATCGACGAAATCACTAAGATACATGCAAAGGCACAAGATAATTTGCAGGGCACGACTATAAAATACAAGCGTAACGCAGATAAGCGTCGCCGGGAGGTGCAGTTTCAAGTTGACGATCTTGTGTGGGCACTCCTTACTAAAGACCGATTCTCAACAGGACAATACAACAAGTTGAAAGCACGGAAGATAGGACCTGTCAAGATCATTGAGAAGATCAATCCGAAAGCTCACCGGCTTGCTCTCCCTCCACACATCCATACGGCTGATGTTTTTTAATGTTAAACATCTGTTCAAGTACGAACCGGATGATGAGTTACTCGCCGGATTCGTGGACGAATCTTTTGTACGGGAGGGGACCTGATGTAGCGTACATCGCCATCCTTAGAAGCTTTGGTTTTCTTGTTTCCTTTTCTTAATTAGCTTTGCTTTCCTTTTTCTATTTAAGTTAGATTTCCTTTTCTATGTTGGCTTTAGGATTTGACATCCCTATATAATGTGATCTCTTGGTTTGTGAGAGACACAACTTTGATATTGATTTATAAAATACTTAGAGCTTTGGTTTTACACAAACTCTTNCCTTTTTCTATTTAAGTTAGATTTCCTTTTCTATGTTGGCTTTAGGATTTGACATCCCTATATAATGT